TCCATTCACATTCCACTAACATTCACATTCCACCCAGCCACTATTCTCATCATCTTTTGACTTAGCTCGAATTACAGTATAATTAAAATCACCATGGAACACAACTAAACCAACAAGATTAACTACACAATCACTTTGGTTTGGGGGTTTTTTTTTGGTTTTTTTTTTTTTTTTTTTTTTTTTTTTTTTTTTTTTTTTTTTTTTTTTTTTCAGCTGCAGCCTTATGAGGCATCTACCTGGCTTCAGCAATTTTGACTTTCAGATGATTATGACAGGGATATACTTCTTTAATATTTGACAAGATTCATGGTCAAGCAACAAAACTCCAAGACATAAGCATCAGTATTAATGAAGCAGCATTCACTGAAATGAGCGTTCTACCTCTATTTTGCCATCCCCCCCCCCCGCCCCAGATGACTCTTTTATTAGTTTTCTGCCTCAGATAGATTTCTATCTAGTCTCTTCCACATCCAGAAGTTTTTAGGGAGGAATGAACCAAAAATGCACATACTCTGAAGGGCTATCTAGGGCTGACATTGAACATGAGGTCCTGGGGTGATGTTGTGCCTTAGAGAATGAGCGTGCTCCTAGAGATCAGGAATGTACACAGAAAGAGCATGGAGACATCAGCTCTATACAGACCATATCAGAGAGCAGGAAAAGGGTGTTGTGTCCAARTCAAGCATCTGCATGCCCAAGTTTATCCAAAAGAATGGTAATCTGCTCACAGTCCCCAGATACCAAAATGAGGAAGGATTTGGGGTAGTAAATTGCTCTTTGAGTTCTCAGGAAAAGGAAGCATAATGAGACATACTGGCCTGAAGTTGAAAGAAGACAGACTAGAAAACAAGATTCAGTAGATTATCTGTRGAGTCCKTCATCATGGATCTGTAATTCCCCAMACGTGTAGTTCCACCTGAAGGCCTGGGACTTTAGGTGTAACAAACCAAGGTGTACTGGAATTGACACAACTGTGGTTGATATCCAGCTTTCCTAGGGCAAGTGCACGAGGAAAGCAAGCRTAAGTCAAGAATGAGGAGCCTCCATCTCCTTTTTTATATGTTGATTCTATAGGGTTTCTCACATTTATGATGCACAATAGCTTTTCAAGCTTTTCAAAGCTTTTTCTTTGGGTTGAAATATGCTATATGCACATATTATAACCATCATAAACTGACATGGCAGCTAGCTAGATACCCCTGTAGTATATCAATCATTTAGGTAAAAGAGTAACTGAGTAGGAACTAAAGACATAACTTACAGGTTTTGCAAGGGGAGGGGGTGGGGCGGAAGGAGGGAACAGGACATGCCTATGACAGGTGGTGGTATATCTCCRACACATCCTGGGTCAAGAGGGTAATATGTGGCTCAGCCTGCCAGACCTCAGCTTGCTTTACTACTAGTGGAAAGCCACAGTCATAGCACCCAGCTAGACACCTGCAGCAGGTGGTTTTGGAAGAGCTGTAAGAGGATAAAACGTCAATAGCAGTGAAAGAAAAGAGACTTTTAATGAGATAATAGGTAGCAGGTCACTCAATAGCAACAGTCAGCTCTGCAGGAAATGAGGCTGTGTGAGGGTAAAGTTCTGGAGAAAACACCTTGTAACATGCAAAGCGAGTCATCTGCAGACCAGATTTCAATGAATGGAAAATTACAAGGATAATGCCATTACTGGGAAACAGGGTGGACTGTTACAACAGGCAGTTGTGGATTTGTGATATAGGACTATTGAGAAAAGACTTGTGGGATTTCAAAAAAACACCCACTGATGTAAGCGTATTTTCTTTAGGCACAGGCAGTTCAGATTTATAAGAGTCTCACTCTAGTGGTTGTTAGAGCTTTGGGGAAATAAAGTCATCATGAGCAGACAGGTAAAATGTGGAGGAAGCATGGCATTTAACTGCTTGAAAAGTTAAACTGAGCTGAGTTTCTTCATTATGGGATCAAAAAAAAGCAAAACTGCAAAGCTTTCTGGTCTTCATTCCAGCCTTGCTGTGGTGGCTGTCTCTGCATTCACACGTTTGGCGCTGTAGCTGTACAGACATGAGCAATGTCTATCCACAGATAGCCCTGCACACCCTCGGTCAGGCCTTTGCTTCACACRTTGCAGGATGAACGTGCACATCTTTGTCTTTGCTTCTCCTGCTCTTCAGGCTCTCAGGAGGGGAGTAAACTGCCATCCCAAAATACTATAAACAGGTGCAGTTAGTCCCACATGCAATGCCTTTGGGACAGAATAGTGGGACAGGGTAGTGAGCTCTATTCTGTGCAAAAGGCCAGGCAGGTGTCTGAAGAGCAAATTCCTGAGGCAAATTTCACTCAGGATGCACCTATAGTTGTGTTATGTTGTGGGTGTATTTTAAAAGCCACTCTCCCTTCTGCACAGCTGAACATTGCTGCAATTCACAAGAGCAAAAACCCAAAATCATGTAGGATGGTACAGTTCAGTTTTGTTGACTCTCCAGTACAGTTCATGGAAATTGTACACAGTTCTAGAGATTTTTCCATGGCCCTACAGGGAAATGTTAGTTTCCAAAGCAGTCCAACAGGGATATTATTTTTTTAAGGACTACAAAACTCCTTTTGTACATATAAAATTTGTTACTGGTACGATTTTATAGCTTGTCTTAAAGTARCTATTGAGCAAATAAATTACACCAAACAACAATATTGCTATATACAGGGCCTTACTTTCATTCATACAATGGCAAGTCATGATCTTGGWTAGCTGAGAATGAGTCCCTGAGAGCTGTAAATTAGCAAGGACTAGATCTTCCACACATTCCCAGTGSTCATCAGTCTGCTCCACTGAAAAGGCTGCAGCCCCTCGAGCTGTTTGCCACTGCCYTCCTACACAGAGCTGCCACACATCTGCCAGCCATACAACCACGCAGTGCCTCATCTAGGCCCTTCTGACAACTTAGGGACAAAATATCACTAAGTTTCCTTTTAAACGTGTCCTGAAATCTATTGATGAAAATTAAAGGGTTCAGATCCTATTAAATATAACTCAATATTAAGTATTTTGATACAACTTTTTGTGTCTTCTGCTAYACTTTGCTATACTGAGAAAACCTCAGCAACAGGACAACAGAGGTAGAGGGGACACTGCCAATTTTCATACTGATTATCTGCTGAACAAAACAGCTTATTGTTAATTAGAAATGTTTTATTTGAATTTTAGAACCAAGGGTAGCTTGTTCTATGAAACACAAATTTAGTGAAAAAAATGAACACAACCAAATTTTAACTAATTTTCTAGCCTTATGCTCACACACCAACCTTAACCTTTCTGAGACATCTACATTCAAATATTACAACAACTGTAATTTTTGACTTCCATCAAGTTTTTAAAGCTCCTATATGTAAGCACGGAAAAGAATTTCTGTCACTCATTGTAACAACTTTTCCTCCTTTTCTATGTCTGAAGCAGGCAAAGCTTCCACACGTGCATAATTGGATTTTACCCTATTCTTTTTTGTGTTCTGCTCAAAATTTAGTTACTATCTTGCACTGCATACACAGGTAGACTGTTAGTGGTGAGAGAAAACTTTCTTTATATAAAGTGGAAGAACAAAGCTGGTAATTTTATTTACCCTATTAAAACACCTAATTGGATGGTTTTAGTGCTATGAGCATGTACTGATGGAGATTATACTGTCGTTCTATTTCTACTCTAGTATACTTTCACAGACTGCATCTGAGTTGAGTATGTTTTATGAATAAGCTAAATATGCAAGAGAATAAATGAATTAACTTTTTGATTTTACTTAAGAGATATATGAAATCTTGTGTCTAAGCAATAGTACAACATCTAAATTGGTAGCAATATCCACTGAGACTCCAGTAGCCTCCTTTCTCATAGACTGATTTTTGAAAAGTTCATCTCTTTGATCACAAAACCTGTGAAATAGGGGCACCACATCAGTGAGTAAAATAATCAAGAACAAAGTCCTGTGGCTTCAGAAAATAAATTGGAGTAGTACCAAAGTAGCTTTTCAGTTTTGCACCTTAATATTTGATTTTTTATAGGTTTGTTTCTGAAATTGGTACTGTTAATACGTAGTTCACAAAGAAATAAAACAGTTTCCATCCGTTGAATTCTCTGTGAAACAGTTACATTTTTCTATACTGTGTGAAATGCAGGGGCCATATTMATGTGGCAGTATCAATCATCACAAATTTATGCAATGTATTGTGCAAGGGTGACCCTAACCTTGCCTTATCAGGGCCAGTGGGAAGCATTGTGACCAATTCTATTGGTTATATTTCTATTTCACCATATGAAAATGGATCTGCATCTGTCATGTTCAGAATCTGTTCAAACCAAGATGAACTTTTGTGAACGTGGCAGTGCATGGACCTTTGGCCCGAGGTCACCATGGAGGGAACATGCCCATGTCATGCCCCTGATGACAGCTTCTCAGAAAGGAGTGTGGCCCTTTGCAGCTGGMGACTGCTGGGGCAGCACTCCAGAGCATGAACACAACTGTAACGGTGCCTGTAGGGCTTGTGAACAGGGGATTTGCAGATTTAAAACAAAATATGGCCATTTCAATTCAAAAATTCTCAACTTTTTAGATTTCAGTAAAAGTTTTAGGTAAAACTTGAGAGAAAATAAAAGTGGTGATGTTTTTTGGCTGCTGAAGGGTTTTTTTGTTTGTTTTGTATTTGGTTTTTGTGTGGTCTTTTTTAAAATTAGACTAAACATTGCTCTTGCTCTTCCTTTCTGACAAGGGAAGGAAAAGAAAACCAATTCCAGGTTAAAGGCTGCTTTTCTTTTTCCTTAASCTGTTTTATTTCATCAGTTCAGTAGAGCTTTTCAGTCTATTTTCTTTCTTGCCTGGCTCTGCACTCACCAGCAGTGTTAGTACTTACTCCTCACAGTACATAGTAGGGCTAAGAGTAAAGCACTGCAGGATTTGGCCCCACTGTTACTGTGTTCCATTAATTTTACAACCAAGTCTTGGCTACCCACATAAAGCCCTAAATTCTGAAAACACTTCTGGCTTTGTATTTCTGACATTTAGTTGAACAGAGTTACCAGGTACATGCTACCTTAAAATTGATTGTTAATGACAATACTTTACAATTAACAATAAAAAAACCCACACTCCAAACCCAGCTCCTTTTGCAGACTATTTTAATAAAGGGATTATAAAATACAAAAGAGAGAGAGACAGGTAACCTGAGATGCAATTTTGGAATGCAAACTTTTAGTTCAAATGTGCAAGCTAGAACTTAACAAATGTTTAAAATATTTGAGTTTGTCAAATGGTGCCAAAATAAACCATGTCTTTTCTAAAGACTACATATTTAGCTAGGCACTGGCAATGTAAATCTTTCAACCATTTCAAGTATTTGTTTAAAAGCCTCCCAGAACACGTGGGCTCCCAASAAAACTGAAGAATGAAATGTTTAGAACACTGAAGCCCAACAGCTGACTTATAATCGACCTAATACGAGAACACTACTTTGTCTTTTTGAACTTGTGAATACATTTTATTTACCAATGCATGAGAAGAACAAACAGAGAAAGTCCAGTTCTGCAGACCTGATGTGAAACGGTGCAGCGATAAGAGTCAGCACATGCAATGCTGGGATCGCCGGTCAGTGATTTCATGTGCTTCACAGTTTATTCTTGCRTGGAGGAAAATCTTCAGGGGTAGAAGATAAGAAGAAAACCCAACAAAACCAACAGCCTTATTCTAATTGAAGGAAATAAAGGCACAGAAAAATCCTGACATTTAATAGTAAGTTCATTGTGTATATGGATTAAAGATGTTACAACTCTTGACCACCTGGTAAGAATAGATAAAGTCAATCTAGTAAAACAGCTGGTGATTTGGAATAAAGAAATAAATAAATGTGCACATGACAACATACTGACCACTAAACCATTTCAATATGATGGCTTATTTATAAAAACAGTTCTAATATTCCTTTACATTAATGATTAACCAATGGATCTTAATTTGTTGTGAATATATTTAAAGAGGAATCAGTCTTCAGCTATGGGACTCCACTAACAAGACTGAGCTGGCTTTGAACTTTTCAAATATCAGCAGCTTTCCCAACACTAGCACAGAAAGTCATGCCGCCAGTTTTCAGCTGTGGGCTGCATGAAAAATAGTACTAGAAGACTAAAGGTCCACAGTTMTTTTCTGTTAAAGTTGATTTGTCACAATATTGTTAATTAGCGAGGGCTTAGGGAAGGCTTACTAGGAATATAATTACAGTGCTGAAAAGCATTAATAATGCTCTTATCCCGAGCCAACATGATGCTATTTACATATTTTACCCTGGCATATACCAGAAATGGCTCCCAATGCATGACGTGCTGCTGAATCATCAAGAGAAAGCCACAAAATCTCATAGGGAAGGACATTTCTGAGTATCTCTGTTCTATTCAAGACAGCAGGGACCCTAATGTGACCAGTAATTATGGCAAGCCACTTTCACCATGAAGTGTTTTTCCGTCGGGAGGGAAATGAATCGCTGTTCCTGGTACACAATCAGATGCRATCTCATCTTTCTCACAATTATGAGGACAGAAGTGACAATTGCATTTGTCTGCTACATGGGAGCAGGCTTCTTTTCACTTTCAGAGCTCTGACAGATATCAATCAGTTCTCAGTGAATAAACCATATGATAAGCCCATTATTAACCCATATTAGCATTAGCACTTATTTCTACTCACCAGAGCAGAATTCCTGCCCTCATTACACTGAAAGGCAAAGGTTAGATTGGGCTCAACAGGACCAGAAATTCAGCTGAGAGCATTAAAAGTTTCCATTACCAGACCTGTGTGACTTTTGCTGCTCACTTCAGCAGGTGAAAAAGTGAAAGTCCTTTGACATTGGCCACACAGATACTTTGGCAAACTTCCTGGAGGAGCCCAGGAACCTCTTCAGGGCCTGCATACCTTTAATGACAGTCACTAAGGAATTTGCCAAGACCACACACCAGGTTGTTGGCAAGGATGAGAGAGAACCCAACTGGTTTTGAATCTTTCTACTCTCAACACAGTGCATTTCTAAAGGTCCTTTCTAAAGAAGAAAAACATTTCCAGCTGCATTTTAAAAATCAACACATCTGATTTAATTATGATTCAAATATATGTGGCTACATTTGTCATTTATGACAAAACACCCTAACTTAAATTATCACTGAATTCCAGGCTGCTTGGTGCAAGACAAAAGACAGAGTCAGGAACTACTTTTTCACCTTAAGTACAACGTGTCAAAAGGAAAATTATGAAGCAAATCTCTCACTTAATTTTACCGAATCAAGTATTATCTGCAACCAGATGTATCTGACATCAAGCCTGCTCGATAGCTTTTGCATGGCCCATCCTGCCTTCCCAAACAAAGCCAATGGACACAAGAGGCTGGAGGTCAAACAGTCCGGCTGTGTAAAGTCTGCATTCACAAGATTATTCACTTGGATGCAAAAATGCGTGGGGAAAGGTGAGGAGCTCTTGACACTCCAAGGAAAAGGAGGAACTTAGCACATTCATGCATGGAGAACAAGCTCTGGTTTAGTAAAGTTGCATTATCAAAGCAGCAAACAACTTCCTCATCAAAGCTGCCAAGCAATGAGAGAGATCTTTACATTGAAAAATAAGGAGTTCAAAGTTAAATTAAAACAATGTGTGAGAATAAATATTTCATTTTCACAGTGAAGGAAAAGCTGCCATAATGTCCTACAGGGATCTTTGTCCCAGAGGCCATGTTTAATGTATATAATTATGAAATCACCTTGAAGAGGGGGTTAATTTGGAAATGGCAGTGTTTCATATCAGCACATTCAGCATGGAGATGCTGATGATACTTTGCTACTCTGAGTATTAAAGAAGAGCTGTGAGAAGAGATGGGACAAGAGCTCATGGTCACGAGGCAATGCTAAAACAACAGGTGATATTCAGCACCCATAAATGCTAAGCTATTCAGGAAACAGCTCTCTCTTCATACAATCTATGATCAGCTCCAAGCTGACAATTACAACTGAGGAAGCAGATCTATAGCTGTTGTTTTTTAACTRTAGAAATATGAATATCAATAAATAATCTATCATAAAGAAAGTCCAGTGCTAGAAGTGATTACAAATAGCATAGAGAATAAAACAAACATCATTACGACAACCATTAAAGTCACATTTTGTCTGTATTTTGAACACTAGGCACAAATCTGGTTGCATCTCAGTAAAAGCACTGCAGAGCTGAAAAAAACCTAGATTAGTATGACAAGGCCAATTAAAAACGTGACACAACTTTAAAATTTAGAGACTGGGGATTCTCTCTGGAAAAGAAAACCAGAGGGAAATGATGCCAAATATGTAAAATCACAAGGGACATAGAAACAGTATGAATAGGGAATGGTTCCTCACCGTTTCTCTCATACAAAAACTAGGTGATAGCAAATGAATAGAGCTGGTTCATAACGGAAGAGGAAGTATTTCTTCACTCAATGCATCATTAACTGCATAAGACCTTGTGACAGGAACGAGTAGATACTAAAAATTTAAATGGATTAAAAAACAGGTCATGAAAAAATGCTGCTAAAACAGATACCACCTCTAGCTAGAAATTGCTGGGACACCAGATGGGATAGTGGTCACTAATGCTGGCCTGATTTTATGCCCTTTCCTAARCATCTTCTATTTGTTATTGCTGAATTTTGGGCGTTGGTCTAACATAGTATGGTAGTCCTGCCATTTTTGTCTTTATTCCTTCCTCACTACTTCCTTAGAGCAGAAATGGTTCAACAGCGCTGGCAGCTCAGGAGATCATGTCATGCACTTAGTGCACAAAGCTCAGTGAGGACASCAGGACAACGAGCAGCACATGGGAGATGGTGAAGGGGCTGGAACCTGGGGGGTGACAATCCTCTGGTTTGAAAGCACTAAAATTTCTTCCCACTGAAGAGATGTGGGGGAGAGGCTCCAGACTCACTGGCTATCTTAGGATTGACCAAAGGTCAAAAAGGGGCACTTCAGAAGTTTCTAGAAGTGACTTGGGTAAATGGGGCTGGGAGGGATGCTACTTATCTCCCTACAAGAGGTTAGGTTTGGTCAACTGAAACTAGGAGGGGCTAAGGTCTGCAGATGAGGGAAGTTTAACATGTAAGTGTTTGAAAGAAAAAAACCAGAAATTAAAATGTCTCTCTGCACTCAAAATTAAAATTTCATTTTCTCCAGACAGACTGCACTATTCCAACATCTGTACAAGCAAGCGTTAAGAGGGACAACCATGTAAAAACATTAAACACAAAGCAAATAAGGCAAGTGGAAGCCTTAGGAGTTACATCCACCTTGGCTGCATTGGTTGGTCCTGAGAACAGACTAAAGCCCAGCTGGCTCCCGAGATTCTTYACTGAATTTGGGGTGCTCAGAGATTACATCTGCCTTCTTGAGCAGGTTTATATGAGTGCTGACCTGACTACTCACACAGGGAGATGGCTGGGTCACAAACGCAACTCTAAGTTCAAGTCTCCTGTATCTGTAAGGTCTATAATGTCTGTGTACCCCACATTTTCCTCCTCTGCCCTCAGTTTCTCCCCTTCCTGTAGGATTCCATGCTTCAGCCTTTGAGTTAAGTCTTAGGGTGCTTCGTGAGTAAAAATAGGAGAGGATTGGCAGTTTGGCCTTAAAACTAACCTGGATGTCACTCCTGCACTGCAGAGCAATCAGAGGTCTGGAAGAAGCAGGCAAAAAGTCCTGTAGGAAAGGCATGAGTAAAGGCAAATACAGAAAAGGTGAATTTTTAATTTACAAGATACTTTCTGAATATGTAAGAGGTTTTCCCTCATAGAAAAGGACAAAGGMCTGATTAAAAACAACACAGGAAACTTTCTGCACTGTCTGACATACTGTACAATGTCACAAGGCTTTCATGTTGCAATTTATTAAACTGTATTTCCAGTGTAACCTAACTGTAAATTTCTTTTTAATGTACACYGAAAATGCCATGCACTAGCATTTCAACTAGCTATTCAACTGTTATATAAAGCTATACATTTATCCTGCCCTTTGATGTAGCCACAGTTACTAGCTGCAATTCAATAGGCTGAGAGTAAGGAGGAAAAAATACCCAATATTCCATCTAGAGATATTTCTTGAATGCCAACCTACTTTATCAATTAATATATTTAACATGTAAATACTGGGCTATTTGCAGTCTCACAAATGAAGTAAGGGATTTAAATTCTGAAACTGTTTTGCAGCATTTTCAACTTGAAGCCTGCAGTATTTAGAAAAATGATCAAGCTGTGCCTTGCAGCAGACTACAGACTACTAGCACTGAGAGAACAGACTGTTAAAATAAGCATCAACATAATTTTTCACAATACACAATGCCACAATGCATCTGCTTAAAAACAAATACATGTTTGCAGTGAAACATTTCAACAAATCAGAGAACTCAGCAGCAAAGTAGTTAAACATTTATGATTTGATTTTATCTCGGCTTGGAATGTCGCTGGAGTGTCCCACTTCTAACAACTGTTTGCTAAGTTAAGGCTTCAGTGTTTACACAGTGCTGAATGAAGCAGCCTGGTCACCAGATGTGAAAGCTTCCTTAGACTACAGCTTTCAATCAGATCAYGGTCCTAATGGTCCCTGCTCCAACCTTCTTCCTCAGGACGTCCACCAGCCTTTCCAACCTGAGAGGGGGCAGGGGAGAGGGAGAGGAGAGAAAAAAAAAAGGAAGCTAATGTTAGGAATGTTCTGGCTGAAAGAGACAGTGTTTGCACTGAACCAAGCTGTCCTGGTGGTGGTCACGCTCAGAAACAAAGCACTACTGTAAAAGACAGACATTAAGGGAAAATGCAGACAACTTAACGAAAAACTTTTTAACCTACAACCCAACCCATTTGCAGTCAGTGATATACATCAACTCACTTTTCCTTTGTAGTGTGTGCAGTCTCTGAGGTCCCTGTGTGGCATTAACACAAAACTCTGTGCAGCAATCCTGTGGTACACATATACTTGGGTGTAAGCAGAACAATTAACTTTTGCACTTTTAGAAATATCAGTTGTCCATGGCTCTTGTTAAATGTAGCACTAAACTGTTGTTTCCCCTTAAAAGATATCTTGCTCATTATCCAACAGAAACTTTTATTGTCCAGTTTATAAATTTGTATCCAAAAGCCGGTGTGTTTTATGTAAAAAAATTTTTCAAATCACTCAACAAGCCAAGCTTCTGACGACATGGATGATGATATTTTGAAGGTGGCCTGCAAGATTCTTGTGTCAATGCAACTATAGAAAAATTAACAGTATGAATAAGTAGGACAGAGAGGTGCCCAATCCTCTCTTAGTTTTAAAACACAGGTTATAAACATCTCACTTGCTTATTTTGATCTTTTMTTTTTGTTAAAGTATGTAGGCAAAGGAAAAGGACTAAATTTGTTCACAATTTTGCATCTGCACACATTTATCTTCAGCATTCAAGAAATCATGCATTCAAGCTATTTCTTCAATTTGTGTTTTATGGTATCCTTCAATGAAAGCTCTCCCTGCTTAAAAGCACAAGCTGCGTGTAGCAGAACACTTTTGGAGCCATGTCCAGGATATTATACACACAGCTTCCAAATAGATAATCAGAGTTGCAGGTTTAAACATCTGTATTCATTGTAACAAAGTTGAATTTTTTTTCTTATCTGAAAAGACAATTTTGATTTGTATTTTTTTAAAATATATTATACAACATGAGAAATGCGATAGGAAATAAAAATAACACAGCTTTATCAAAATTGCAAAATGCATTTTATCTCATGAATGCATTAGTAACTTCAGTGCATGTAAACTGGTCAACATGGATTTATTGCCACAAGTCATGACTAATGCACTCGGTACGTATTGAAACACTCTTGTTTTTCCAGGAACCACCAAGCACGATGAAACTACACCTTTCATTGTACTCACCAGGTGACTTAATTCCTGAAATGAGATTAAGAATTCACCACCCAAATGTAATCATCAGACACCAGGAAAAGTATGTGGAAAGTTCAGCTAGTTCTGGCTGTTCCACAGGGACTCTGAGGGAATTAACAAACCGGTGAAAAACTGCTGCTTAGGCTCTTCTCTCCCTTCAGTTTTCCAATGGTCACTTTTCTTTCTTAACCAACTTAAGCATTTTCCCTTGGTTTTGTAAAATAACATTTACTGCACTTCTTCATCTTTATGGAGGCAGCACCCAAACAGCCATAACTCAGTGCGGTCAGTCCATGCAAGTATGAAGTCAGGGATTTCATAAGTTACTTGTTTCTGAAAGTCTCACATGGATACATCAATGTTTTCTGAGCTCTAAGGATTTTAACTCACTCACTAATAGGTCACAATTTCATCATCTCTTATTGGGAAGTTCCCCTGTTAAATCAGTTGTCAGTCCACRTGCAATTTCAGAAAGCAGTGGCAGATTAGTTCTCGCTCAACAGCACGTGTATTCAGAAGCATGGCAGCTTTCTCAGTCATTTTAACTCTTGCTGGAGGTCTCTTTCACACTAGCACCCTCTCTAGTGTGCTTCAGAGACATAAAAGCACTGGAGAAACATTTCRAACTGTTTGGACAAACAGAAGGTTTTGGCTGAAAGTTGTTTTTCTGGGAGACAGCATAAAACCAGTAAAAACTGAGATCATGGCTTATTTCAATCACCGTTCATTTAAAAAGAAATACTGCACGGCTTATACAAGAGATGGGGGGAAAATGACTTCAGTAATTGAGGCTCCTTTAGGGGACACACGAATTGGAGGTCACAGCTTCCACATTGTCCTAAGACTGGGTTTTGATGTGCACCACTGTGTGACCAAGGAATGGCACTGCACACCAGAGCAGCACGAGTTAGCGAAGAGCTGCCCATGTTTGAAGAGAAATACCACTGGGATGAAAGTAGCTGTCTTCTGTTTAACCTTGAAAGTGTCAGGCTTCATTGAAAATAATGAGCCTTAACAATCATAGTTGCTGCTTTTCAAATGAATGATGACTGAAATCATCAAAATGAGGTATTCCTCACCAAATACAAACCATGCAGAGGTTATTTGCCTTTTGTTTCAGTCATTTGTAGATTTGCAAATTTATTTCTTCTTTATTAGAAGGAAAAAAAAAAGGTAGCAGTGGATTAAGATATTGTACCTTGGAAACAGATTGAAGTAATAATGTAAAAGAGAAATTGTAACAGCTATTTATAAGATAAAATAACAGAGGGCAAAATTTACCCCTACACAGACACAAGACCCAATATACCACTGAAATCCCACTTAAGCCTACAAAATAATGCTATGCGCTGAATCAGTGGTTAATAACTCTTGATACAGGCCTCAGGGGGCTTTTTGGAATGATAATCCTGGACTCTTTGTTCACCAAGGGCCCAACTCTGTCATCCCAACTCATACTAAGCAACGTTTTCTTTGTGAGTAATAAAAGGCAGCTGAAAAGGCCGTTGGTGCCAATGAGGTGCTACCTGAGAGGGGTGAGGGTGGCAGAGCCAGCCCTTGTGGATAAGGCTCTGTGCCCAGCCCAGGGGTTACTGTCCCTTTGGACACTCAGCATTCTAATGTGGAAAACTSCAGTAATAGTTTTATACCTCAAGGCCAAAGGTGACTTAAACAGAAGAATGTAAGGTTCTGGGAAACAGTCTCAGTGTTTGCAGGATTTTATTAAAAATATGGAAAACACTGACCTGAAGAAAGCAACTTCKGTTACTTTGTGTAATTTCACCAAATTTTACTTAACTGAAAGCAGCACTGACTACATTTGATTGTATTGTAAGACAAAGATTTAACAAATGACATTTGTTTTATTGCTTGTGAAGAGTCCTCACAAGACAAATTAAATGTGCAACATGGCACTTTCTCCTGAGATGTAAGCATGGACACTCACTGAATTAGCATCTCATGAAGCAACTGAAGAAGTCATTAAAGAAGAAAGTATTTGGGTTCCTATTTTAGACCAGAGAGAAGAATAACAAATACGGTGGGTGGGTCACTCTGTTGTAGTGCTGAGGGTGCAAATGTGCAAGGGCAGAAACCTTTTGGAATGTGTTACAGAGCCTCCTAAGGCCTCACTCCCCATTCTCGCACATTTCAATTTCTTCCTTAGAAATTTTGAAAATTGCAGTAGGTGGCCTTCATTATTCTTGGTACTTCAATACTCCTCGAAAATCCGTCCCTTATCAAATCAATTCTCTCACCAAATGCCACTTCAGCATTCTCCATACAATTATTGCATGCATGCAAGTAAAGTGAGCACAGAATGACATAAAAAATACAGGAAAYACTATGGATTCAGATGGATAGGTACAATTTTTATTAGTTTATCGATTTGCATATATCCAAAAGCAAAAAGGTCACGTCCTTTTCATGATAGATGGAATTTGCATTAATGAAAATCACAAAGATGAGGGCTAGAAATATTCTTTATCTACACTACATACTTCTGTAATGCTCATCTTAATGCTTCCATGAAATAGAAAAATTAAATAAAACACACAATTTAGGAAAGGGACGCCTGGTCTACCATTATTTTTAAGTTAGCAAAAGATGCAACATTAAGAGTCTTGAACTGCAGTGGCTTAATGTTTCCTCTCTACAAATTTGGAATGAAACAGTTGAATCTGTGTTCTAATACAGAAATAAAAAGGTTTCTATAARGGACTTGCTGCTATGATATTACTGGTTTAATCATGTCCTTTTAAACGTGTTGCTAAGTTTTAAGAAGATCCTCATCTCTAGAGTAAAATGACCTAAAAAGTAACATTGCTAGGTAAATCTTCTCCAGTACAAATTCTCAACCATTCTCAGCTCCTCTCCCAGCTATTTCAAACTGTGTTCCCTTGTCACCTACACACAGAGCTGTCAATGCCTGGATGGGGCGCATCCTGTTATTACACAGCTCCTGAATTGCCTGAGAATCTGCTCTAACTTTTAGCAAAGGCTTTACTCCTGTGAGTAAAAATACTTTTGGTTTTGGACTCAGTCTCCATAAAGCAGACTGAAAATCCTTACTGACAGAGACAATCTCAGTTTGTTCTGAGAGMCCAGAAGCTGAACAGATCAGTGCAAGTGCGTTACCTACAACTCTACTGCTCAGTCATGCACATTTTTGGCTTGCTCTCCYCTTTCACGTATTCTGCTGAAGAAGTCAAGCTCTAACCTGTAGCTTGGGATCAGTAAAAACTCTGCAACTGTGTAAATCCACAGAGATAGATTCATCCTTCTACCCTGCTCCATCTCTGGTCAGAGGAGCTTCCAAAGGACAGCAGTGGCCTTTACTCCCAAGGTCTGACTAKGACACTTATACAATCACAGAACTACCTTTCCCCAGAATCATGGCCCAGAAATAGACAAAATGGACACCCAACTGACAGAAAAGGGCACCCTTCAAGTAGCCCATGTCCTAATCTGCAAAGCAATACATAGACTAGCCGAAAACAATAGTTCCTACCTGCAAATGGAGGAGTTAAGTGATAAAAACAAAACCATCCTGGATTTTGAAATGCTTTATAAAGGCTTATAAACCTAAGCTATAACCCTTGGTTATCTTTCCAGTAGATAAGATTAGGCTCAGGCTACGAAGATGGCCTTACTTGTGTGATTTCTGGCTTCTTGTGGAATGTGTTTTGCTGACACTAACTCCCTTTAGAAACCAAGCATTTGAAAATAT